CAGTCTGGAGATGGACGATGAGAGGTAGAGAATGGGACACACAGTTAGCCAGATAACCATAATGGTCACAATACACTGTGGTGCAAAATCTCAGTAAATCAAGTGAGATATAATTGCAGTGACTCGTGTACAGTAGTATAATTTTGCAGAGCGGCTGGAGAGGTATTTGGTTCCATTGGCCATTTATACTGCTGACATTTCTGATTGGATGAGTGGAAATTATACCTATGAGGATGAAAAGTTGAAAGAACATAAGAGGAATGATGCAAAAGACAGCAGGCGTGTGCGCCACGTCAGCTCACAACAGTTGCTCTCTTCCAATAGCCAGTCTATGTATGGACTTTCTTTGTGAATAAATGTTTAGAATCTTTAGTACTGCAATGCAGTTTGGATTCGAGCCATCGCTCCCAAGTTTGCTCCAGGCACCAGTGTTAACACAGGCAATCATAATTATTAGAAGTAGCTTAATTTGATTTTACTCCATCTTTGTTATCCTGATACTAAAAAGTAACTGAAAAGGAATCGGACTGGGGCACCCTGGAAGCTCACCTGGTAGAGCTGGTGCCCCACCATGTACCAAGGCTGAGACCTTGTTGCAGCGACTATGGATTTGACTCCAGCCTGTGGCATTCTGAGATAATTGGCATAGGCCAATGCATGCACTCACAGGCCGATAAACGAAAAGGTCTGTCGGCAGCCATGTTGGTGTGGCTGCTGTCAAACTATTTTACACTTCCCCTTGTGACTTTTGGGATGATGGTGAAAGAGTTAGTTAGGATCCCTGGCTTATTTTCATGTTTGCCTCACATACCAGTTAGGCTTAATTGAGCACTTTTAAACACAAATTTTAAATGGCCATAAAGAAGCTTTTCACATTTCATTGTAAGGGTTTATTACGAATCATTCTCAATGATGTAGAAATCTACTGAAGTTTCATAAGGTGGCCATTTCCTACTTTCAGATACTTCAACGAGATGTCTGCACAGGGCTTGCGAGCAAGGACTGTGTCCAGCCCCATTCCCTACACCCCATCCCCAAGCTCCAGCCGACCAATATCACCTGGTAGGTACATTTCAGTTGGCCACTGTTCAGCAGAATGTATTGTGTAAAAGGAGAACAGCAAACACAGCAATAAAAAGAACCTTTGATATCAATTCATATGAATTGTTGCCAAGCTTTATCTTTATAACAAAGCTTACCGTTATAATCTGTCATATCTTGTGTCAAATCTGGAACAAACGTTAATTGACATTCAACTCGTAAAGGTCAGTAAAACCATGAATAAATCCCCAGTCTAGATGGCAGTGAAAAACATGTTTTCCCCCACTCTCTGTCCAATCAAATCTATTGTTTCTGTTCAGGAGAATCATAAAAATTCATGTTTGCATAACAAATGCTTACCTAACAACAATACATTTCTTTCTGATTAGAAGTGATGAAAAACGGTGATTGTTTATTAAAAAAATCAGTATTTAACTGGACAGTGAATTATTACTACACAGGAACTAGGCTAAGACTAGAGTCTGAATACAATGCAAAACGAAATCGAGCCATTCCAGGTCCGCCCAATCATGTTTGGTGTGATTCAGCAAGATATCAGATTACAGCCTAAATGTTTGCACAGTGATAAGTCGGACATAAGGTGCCAAAGCACTGCTGGTGTTATGTTCTGTCAGCCAGGTACAAATTGCATTCACCTATCAAATCTAGACCTGATGTTAAGTAGAGAAATAGCAGTACTTAGAGCCTCAACAACCAGACTTGAATTTCTGAAATATAAATATAATGACTTGAAACAAAGGTACATACAGTATGTGTTTTCCTGTCTTTGTTACAGGCCTCTCATATGGTAGCCACACAGTTGGCTTCACCCCTCCAGCAACACTGTCCAGAGCTGCCATCTCCCACTACAACACCCCCGCCCTGCACGTCCATGGAAGCTCCTCTCACGCAGTAGCGGTAAGTAACATCCACCCACATCTCCTCAGCCAGACATTTGCCAAATTGTGACTGTACTAGGATTTATTGTAGTTGTCTGGATTTTGCCACCCAGGACTCAACTATTTAGTGACATAGCAGATCTAATGAAAATTTTAGCTGCTCCAATTTAAATGTCAAAATACAGGTTGACAATAGACGTAATTCTTATATTTGACCTGGGGTGTTTTACAATGTAATAGAATTGATGAATAAGAGCATGTAGGCTGCTTTTTCTGTTGTTGAATTTGCAGCGCTGCTTTTAAGTTTGCATGTCTGTCTAATGGGGCAGTTTTATTTCTGTACTCCAACATATTAGATGCAAAATGAAACACTGACTGAGGTTAACTGCTGTCTTTCAGCTGTAAAACCAATATACTTAAGTAAGCCACTGAGGGGCGAACAGGGTGAACTTATTCTGGACGCATGTTGTGGTATAAAAAGAAACCAACTTCCAGTGCACAGTCTTTGGATTCAGCGATCCATTTATTCACAGTTTGGCATACACATGTTCACCATAGCATAGGTAGGTAGCAGCACTGTCCATTTTCAATCACAATGATGTTTCCTTTAAGCACATTCAGACTCAAGCACACCAGCCATGCAGAAATTGTTTGCTTCCTGTTCCACACACCTGATTCTCATCACCTGGAGCTTAGCTATATATGCACTTCCATCCACTTTAATGCTCCACCCTGTGATCAATGTCAGGACTGCATGTGTATACATATAGTCACCTAGTGTTTTAGATAGGTGATTATAGATCAAGTAAAACATTATGACTACATTATGACCCCAACACATTCCTTTTTATGTATACCAACAAACAAAAAAGGGCTACACTGTTCATCCAACATGGGTGTGAACATTTTGCAAACCTGCCAAAGAAAACTGGCTTGACCTGGACGACAGATATTGTTATTTCACAGATAATAGGAGAGTCTTGATACTAGCTCCATAAATGTATCAAGGTCCAGTTGGCTGTTTATGTATCTGTTTAATAAAATAACTGATAACTGAGTCAACACACCTTATTTGTCACATCTATATCTTTATTAACTTTTTATTATTATAATATTCCATACCACAGTCACAATCCATTAACGCCTATCTTGTAACCAACCAATGTGTTTTTAGTTTCACTTGACTGAACACCTACATCGACAGTGTGTCAAATTAGGTCATTGTCATTCATGGTTTACCTTGTCTTACTAATAATTATTTAATTTGGTTTCAAGACGCCTTCTAAACTAATGAAGTTCAGCCACCCTGTTGGTGATATTCAACTCCCAGTGAACACCAAGAGGCCAAACATGCAGTATATAGTTAGTATACCAGTTGTATTGTATAGTTTTCTGCTTGCTTCTCTGAAATAGTACTTTGTTTTGCTGTGTCTCAGATGGCTGTCTGTTGGTTTCAATGTCTCACTTATTCTCACGAGAACAGATCATTGTGACCTGAGTCTTTACTGATACATTGAGTCACCTCTGCAATATTCAGAAAAAAGGTTTAGGAATTAGTCAGTTTCCTAGTGGTAAGACCTTGTGGAGTTTTGTTCTCCAGAAATTACTTTTTGAAATAGTGAAATTGTAAACACAGCTCTTACCAATGATCCTAATTAAGGTTCCATCCATTCAGGTCCAACGGTGCTGCTATTGTTCTGTTGGCTGAACCTTAATTAGTGTGATTGGTAACACCTGTGGTTTTTTTATTTTTTATTTTGTGGTATTTCCTGTCAAGATGGCTGCTGTGAAAAGAATGTCTCACTGTTATAATGTTGGCATGTTTTTGAGAACACATTTAGGGTAACGCCAGTTTTAGTTTACCACTTCAGTGTGATCAGCTTCTCTGTATTTGCTGTACAGTGGGTAGTTTTTAAACTTTTGACAAAACTCCCAGGCAGCACACATAAGGTTAAAGTTCAAAACATAATGGTACACAGGCAACGAAAATAATTTATTAACTGTTCCCTGCTATTGTATCTCTCTCTCTCTCTTATTTCCCCCCACTCTGGTATTCTTCGCAATTGGGACAACACAGACCACATCTCTGCCATCACAACTCAGCCCACCCAGCAGTTAAAACAGGGAAATAACTCTGTCTGGGAGATCAGAACCTTAGACAGATTAATTTTTCTCTGAAACCCTTTTTTCTTTTCTTTTTTCCATTCCTGTGACTGAAATTGCAGATGTCAGGTCATGAACAATAGCTCAGTGGGGAAAACATGACTGAGTAACCTCGCCACTCAATCTTATTTTCCTTCCGAAACAAACAAGAACAAAAATGACTGCTACAATTACCACTCTTTCTAGCTGTATCTGCCTAAAACAAAATGCCCATATGCAAATATCTTCACCTGATGTTGGTTGGACTGAATAACCCCGAACACCTCAGTTTACCATAAGGTTTAAAATGCTGCCATACAGTTATAATGACATATGATAATGACAGATATTTATTTATTTATTTTTCTTTCTCTCTCAAACAGAGGCCCTCCCCAAGAAGAAGCACCAGCCCCGACAAATTCAAACGTCCAACGCCCCCACCCTCCCCCAACACGCACTCAGGGGCCCAGCAGGCTCAGCCTCCGCTACCCCCACCAGCCCAGCCCATGGTCCAGTCCATGTCCTCCCCGGCAGCTATGTCGCAGCACGCAGCAGCACAGCAGCCTCCCTCCCAGCCTTAACGCAACACACAGTCTCTGTCTTTGCGCGTGAACGCGCCCACTGAATGCCACGACGCTTACGCAACAGCAACTTCCATCATTACCAGCTCTGGAAGTCAAGTTTGTTACTCTTTACCAACTCCACAAAAGAAGCAGCTTCAAAAGTTTTAGAGGTGAAAGAAACAAGACCGCGGCTGACCCTCAATGAAGCCAGCCGCCTGCCAAATCCACACGTGGCGTTACTTAACTACTCTTAAATGGAATGGATGGACTGAAAAAATAATCGCTTCTGGGATTTGTAGGCCAATTATCTGTTCCACCTTCTGTCTTGTACATGTTATGTTTTTTTTTTTTTTTCTTTGCTTGGGACTTTAGCTGGTTGGAATTGTTGTTGTGGCGCTTCTAAGATAGCACAAACAGCACATACAATGTTTCATGGTGGTGTTTTCTGATAGGTTGGATGTTTGGATCGATGGATGGATGTATGGATAGAGAAATGGATGAATTCATAGATGGATGTGGTTGATTCTTTTCATGCCTATAATATGACACTCGATTGCAGTAATGTCCTCCACTCATGCTCACCCCACCCCGCCTGTCTCTGAAGCAGTGTCAACAACCCGACCCACCACTTTGATTAGGTCAACAGGAGGTGTCATATAAACTGCTAGGAGTTTCTGCATCATAGGGCATTGATCAAACCGAGCTCGCGCCAGTTGTTTTAGTTTCTGAAAGCATTCAAGGCTCTGCTGCTCCTCAGCTAAAATGAAAAGAAAAGGGGAAAAAAAAGCATCAAGTAGGATGGACACTGGTACATAAACCACAGATAAATGTCGCCTTTTGAGGTGTTTAAAAAATGTAGTCTGAGGTGTTACAACTTAGTCATGTACTCAGTCTCTTTTCTGCTCTTCTCTCTCTCTCTCAATCTCTGGTGTATTTCTGAAAGCTTCTATCATCCTTGTGGATATTCCTCATCAGAAAAAGGAAAAAAAAAACAATGCTCTTTACACTAAATATACATACTGCTAAAACATTCTAATTGAATGGTACTGTTGAACTAAATTTCTATGTATGATTAAAGCTCTTGAGATGACGATGTCTGTCGACTTTTGTCAGTTCTATGAATAGCATATGCTACTCATTTGTAATGGGAGAACTATGAGAGTTTCACATTGATAAGCACTGTAGACTTCAGGACTGTTGCAAATAACAATCAGTCTGTTCTTTGATCTTTTTTTTTCCTAACAGGAGGCTGTGATATGATGTACACGCTGAATTTGGAGCCTAACAGGTTCTGAATTTAGTTTATCTTTTTCTTTCAGTGGAATGTCTCCTTGTGGGAATCATGAGGTCCCACCCACCTCCTACGCTAGCTGATAAAAAATGTTTGTGCCTTAAATAAATTCGCACCATAAAAGCTCACACCCTATGTGAGGAAGGCAAAAATGTTAATATGTTTCTTATAAAGGAGGAATATCTGTTGATTACATTTAGTGATGTGTTGCATGTGCGCTGAGGCAGCTGAAGAGTTTAAGCTCCAGCTTAATGGGAAAAGTATACATTGCTCATATTAAACTGATGTCTCTGGCTTTTATACACTTCAGCACTGGCAAGACTTCATGTTTTATTGTCGTCTTACTACCGTGGCTCATGACCATGTAATGTCTGACTGAAATAATAGATTGCCATAATTGCCAAAGGTTTTAAAAGGTCTCCTCCCTTGAGGAGAATTTCTAATTATTTAAAGGATCACCTGACCTTTCTTCTAGTGCCACAGGCAGGTCAAACTTTTCACTTATTCACATTTTTGGTTTACAGTCTGTTGTTGTCTGCACAGCTACACAATAGATGGCCATGAAATTAGGGACAGACATTCATGGTTCCCAAAAGATGGATTGTAATAACTTTGACCACCTGATCTTTACGTCAAATAAAAATAAAAAAGCAGATTCAGCTTCTCAAGGTGGGAAAGTAATAGAACAACGAATAAGAAAGTTTGAAAAGGAACTGTCCTTTGGTTGTCCTGTTTGGAATTCAGAAGCTTTTCAGTGTCAAGTTCATTCACAGTCCAAGTACATCTGCATCACCACCACACTAAATGCATTTCTTGTATAGTGATTTTCAGGATCCTGAAACATGACAACATACCATGAAATTGAAATTATAAAGTATAATAAACCAAAACCTGCCTTTCTCCCATGATCATATGTCATGTGGCCTAGATGGGCTATAATGAATTTGATAAAGGCGATCTAGTATTTGTTGAGTTATTTAAGTCTGGACCAACAGGCGAACATTACCATACCTAGAGTAATCCTTAGATGGTAATCAGCACAACTACATCATGTGATAGCTCTCTTTCTCACAGCAGCTCCGTTGACACTTGATTCTGTGCCTAATTTTCATTTCCTAGTCTACGTTGGTTTTAACCGGTTCCAACTGGCTAGAGACCGGGAAAGTGTTTTCCACAAATCAATCATTCCAGGATCATTTAACATGGTAAACCTTTGTAATGTGGGTGCAGTCACCTGTGGTGGGAGGAGAACAGGGCAAGGTTGACAGCCTACGCAACACATTAGGTTTACTTCGGGTGTCCACAGGTAACTGTAGCCCATTCACACATACGGCCGGTTCAAACTCACCAGAATCAAAATATGCACCCCATCATAAAAGTGACATGGATATATCTTTGTCCAAAGGCTTGGTGTATCCTGTGTTTTTCTAGCATGTTGCCGTGTTCTCTCTTGCTGCTGAAGCCAGCAACCTGAACTAATCCAAGCAGGAATCTGGACCGGCGGCTCAGGGTGGGCATGCTGGGTGCTAAAGTGATCTTTCACCTCTGCAGCTTTATGGAGCTAGATGGCCGAACCAAGAGACATTCATCCAGACTGCAGGGTGGCTCTGTATCTTCACACCAGCCAAGCCTGTTACGGAAAAGAACAGCAGGCTGCTGCTTCTCAGGTGTCACAAAAGTGCTGGAGAAAAAGAAAAGATACTTAAAATGTCAGAATATCAGGTCAGCTCATGTAAACCCTAATGGGAAATGTGTGTGTGCGTTTACTAATGGACTATGGATGAGTAATATCAGCTCTGCAGCAAGGGTAGAAGTAAGCGATAGATATGTTTTGATGGGGGTTTGTTCATTATAAAATAATTTTTCATAACTGCCCATTGAATTCTCATAATGACCAAAAATTCAAAACCTTGCTCTAGGGCAAATTAGCCTTACTTGGTTAGATTAGCAAGAGATTATCTGCAGTTATCAAGTTATTTTGGAAGCCATATTAGGAGGGATATCAAAAAGCTGGAAGATACTGTTATGACAAATTTGTGATTCTCCTGTTAGCTGAGTAGGAGATGCTGAGGTTTGTCTGAAGGTTTCAAAAAGGTAAATAAATCATTGTGTTATTATTTAATGTTGGATTGGACCACCCACACGAGGAGCTTAACTTCACCCCTGAGCATAGCAAAAAGGATAATAATTATGGTTTTGAACTACTAAAATTATGACCAAAAATTGGATTGGTTATATTAATCTATTTTACGAGGTATAAAATGTAATCGTGCCAAATCTGACTGTTATTGTAATATATTGTGTCAGCTGTCACATAAATTGCATGTGATAGTCTGTCACATACTGTAGGCCATTGGCTTTCAAGTTATTACATGTGGTTATACATATTATCGAATTGTGGCAGAGCCAATAAAAGATGATATAATCCAAATAAAATGCTGAGTTGGTAAAGAAATATTACATTTATTACTATATAGATTAAATATGAAGGGGCCCAAAAATGTATCCTTGTGGGACACCATCAACACTTCCCCAAGAACAGTTTTGAGTTCTGCCACAAGTTATGAGCTAAACCAGTCATGTGCAACTTCCAGTGTTTCGATCAAGAGTATCAAAAACTTGACAAACTAGACAGATTCAGAGTGAAACACACTGTTGCTTTATGTCAAGCAAATAAACCTCACCCACAACAGCAGTTTCAGGAGTTATCATATTTATGATGTGGTCAAAACCCTTAAAGCTGTAGCTGCAGGACATTATTACCCCTCAGGAAGGCATTGAGGAGTTAGGGGTAATGGGTAAGTCTGGGCTTTTTGACAGCCTACATATAGGCCAATAATCATTTCGGTCAGTGTCTCCAACTGTATTCCGTGAAACCACCTGACGTTGCAGTATCAGGATCACCGACAAAGAGGGCACAGATCCAAATTATTTTCTCCAGCAGACTTTGTACGTGCCCTTGTGTGCACTGTGTCATCTCAGTTGAATTGTTGTGTTGAATTGTCATCTTTACATAGATTATGTATAAAATAGATGAGACGAAACAGGTTATGTAAAGCTTCAATCATATGACTTTAAGTTAATAATAGTGTGGCAGCAGTGCGGGGATTTTAGCAAATTCCAGCCTCTGCTGTCATTACCACTGTAACATGAAAAGGAGATCATATAATCAAATTTTCAAGATTACAAAGCCTTAAAATTCAAATTCAAGTGCCTAACCCAGTAGAATTAGTGGTCCATAAACAGAACCTGCTAATGTGTCAGTAAATGTATCGAAGAACTTATGCAAGCAAGTGTAATTCAGCACCAACATTGATTCTAGGATCAGTCAATAATGTTAAAATTGTATCATAGTCGCTCTCCCGCTCTTCCTCCCCTCCCTCAGATTCCTACAGACTGTCCCCCACATGCACTACATCTGGTTAAAACTGGTCTTGGGCAACATGTCAGTGTAGTGTAATGTAATGCCAGTGTGTAGAGCACAATTAACTGTGCCTCCCTTGTTCTTTTTTCACTTAATTGTTCAAGCATAAGGGGATTATGGAGCCTAAATCTTTTCTGTAAGACGCCTTCCTGGCAGCAGACCTCAGCTGGGAAAAAGTATCAAAGATCCTGAAGAATTTAGGTGCATTCAGTGTGAAAACCAGTTTCACCTCTAGTCTGCTCTCTTCATCCCTCCACCATTCTTACTCTGCTCCCCATCCTTTCATCTTTCATGCCCTCTTTTCTTTGAGTTCTTTTTTCCCCGTCACTTTTCTCCACTCCTCTCCTCAGCTTTTTTTCTACTGCCTCGGTTCAACAGTGTTTCTGACCGGAGGTTATGAGAATGGGTGCAATCACATGGTGGTATAATTTTATGATGCTGCTGCAGTGTGACTGAGAGCAACTCTTGTTTCTCCTCTCACCCCACAGTATGAATGCAATAAATTACCAAGCACAAAACAGGAACAAATATAATAATAAATAAATAATACATTTGTCTTTATTAGTTTCTGTGTGCTGTTCTGGGTACAAAAGAGGGTTGTTTTTGTAGGTCATCTCACAATAAATATGTAAAAATGTAGTGATTTAATCAAAAAGTTGAGCAATATAAACTCAAGCTATTCTTGCAGGTTACAGGTCTATGATTCACCTGTGTCTCCTTGGCTACATCTATTTTATTTTACCACTCTGTGTGTATGTAGACCTCCTCTTCACAGCTCACTGAACTATTCCTCTAAAATTCATGTATGAACTGTCAGTATTACTAAAACACTGCATACCCTACATCTTCCCACCTCTAAGACTCTCTTCGGGCTATTTTTAACTCCTGGTAGCTGCATGGAAGACTGTCCACATGTTGCTCACTTTTTGTGTATAACTCTTATATTCCCTGAGGTTTAATCAGTCTCTTTTTTTTCCTAGTGATTGGAAGATCTACTAAGATTTGATTCAAGAGCTGTGTGCATGTATTTCTTTAGTGCTCACCAGGGGAGAGGACTCCAGGCAGTGCGCCCTGCTGGTGCAGAGTGGTGTTACCATCCATCAACCGGTTCAGACTGGACTCATGGCAATATTAACAATGTTCATGGATAGAAGTGGCCCATACACCCAGCACTCCTAGCTGGCACATGAACTCCCAAGCTTCAGCTTGACCAGACAGCGGTGTATTTAGATAAGCAGAGAGGGTTCATTTTAAAAAAAACATGTTTATATTGTTATTCAACTTATTATTTTAACTTGTTCGATAGATTTATGAAGTTCTTCATGAAAAGAACCTAATTTGTGTTGAACGGCCCGGAAACCTGTCAGGTAGGCATAAACAGTTATTTGTGTGTGTGTGTGCATGTGCGTGCGTTTGTGTGCAGGCTACCCGTTCAGTTTCCCGATGTCTTAAAATTCAAGATGTAGCCGAGAGAAAACAATAAGTAGTCTACTTAGTATGACCCATAGACCCACAGCCGTTACATCTCTGAGCGCAGAGACTGAGTGCTCTGTGCGCTCCAGGCGCGCAAGAGGAAGCAGCGCTTTTCCTCCCTGCGTTTAAGCTGCTACTGGACCAGCAAGAACAGCTTTGAACCGGTTTTGTCGCCGGCTACAAAGCAGTATGAAACGGGTGCACAGTGCGCATTGTTGATGCAGGTTCCACTCTCAGCACACGGGGCTTAGAGATTTGAGCTCAGATAGACCTGCGTCCACGTACGAGGCTTTCTTGTTTATGCCATTTGCAGAGATCCTGTAAGAAGGGATTTTAATAGGGAAACCCTCCTACATGGGAAGTTCCCGTAGAACGCGCAGCTCTGCAGGGTCCTGCTGCTGTTATTGTAGATGCTGAGGTGAGTGCCGCATGTGTTTTTAATAACATAACAAGCACAATGTATTTGTGGAAGATGAGGTATGATGAGAAAACACCGTTACCGTCATCGGCGAATACAGAGCAGATGTTATTTGAATCAGCCATTAGCCCATACAGTGATTTTCTCCAGGATGTTATTGTCTTAGATTTCAACCCTGTTTACTGTAAACATGCTGTAACCCTGCTTTGTAAGCAAAGAAATCCGAGTGGCTTTGCACCAACCCCCCCCCCACACACACACACACTAAGAAGCCTCACTGTAAACAAGTGTGACCAAAGATGGTAAATGCTGCAGCAGTGATGTATAAAGTTGCTCTGGGTTACAAATTATTAATAATAGATGTCTGAAAAAGTCAGCACAGAAGACAAGCTTCTCCCATTTGTCATATAAGACGGGGTGGAGGGGGGGCACACTAGTAGCAAGTGTAGTTTTCTTTACTTTCTCCTCCTCCAAGGTGTGGTTATGGAGACAGGAACAAAAGGGGCAGTTGCCTTTGGGTGAGTTGCAGTCAGTCAGTGTTCAGGACCTCACACAGGTGTCCTGCCTGTTCGCCCAGGCCAAGTGCTGCAGCAGCCTTCACTACATCAAGGCTTTGCGTAAGTGTGTATTTTGGAAGCTATGGGTCCAGTTAAAAACTATTGTCATGGGAAAAAAACTTAACATGTGTTCCATTTGTCATCTTTTGATTTATTTTGCAGTCAAACTTACGATTGCGATGTTTGTTGTTCTGTCCTTCCCAGGATCCCCTCCTCTGTCAACCTGTAGCAGATCCCTCTGGGCAGCAGTAGCATCAGCGATATGACTCCATCTACTAAAGTGCTGGACGAAGGCTGGGCATGGGTGATTGTTGTGGCCTCCTTCATGGCCCAGCTCCTGGCCTATGGATCACCCCAGTCAGTGGGTGTCCTGTACCCTGAGTGGCTGCACGCCTTCCAGGAGGGCAAGGGCATGACAGCCTGGGTGGGCTCCCTTGTGGCTGGAGTAGGACTAATAGCCAGTGAGTAGCACACACTATAATAATGTAGTAATCCTCAACATGGGTTCTCACTGGGGTTAGCCAGACTAAATGCCAGTTGATTTTTTTGAGAAAGATAAAATGTGTGAAACAGCATTATAAAGAAGAAAAAAAGGAAGTACTGTAGTTTCGAAGAGATGCCCTAATCTACAAATCTTTGTAAAATGTCTGTTTGGTAGAGAAAGCAAAAAATGTCACATCATCATGATTTTCATAGTTTTTCCAGTGAAAATTAAATTTGTGATGCAATAATGTGAATTTCCACACTGATCATGATTCATATCGCAAACGCAATATATGTCAAAATAACTGCATTTTGACAGAGTAATAGATGCAAATGGAGAAAGATGTGTGTAATATTTTGGTGCTTTTCCCCTTTAGATTATTGTTTTTAGCATCTGATAATTCTGTGCTGAGCAGTAAATTGATGTTTTGGTGCTACATATAATTATGGGCAATATATCTGCTGACGTGCGTTTGAGGGAGAGATACTATATCAGTTTTTTTTCTTAAAGCAGAACACTAAACTCTCACCTTTACACCTATCTCCCTACCATTTCCGTCTTATTCGACATGCCACATGATGCCACTGATAACAAAGCAGACACAATACTTCAAAGTCTGACCAATTACTTCCACGAAAGGGGCAATGCAAACTATTACCAAGGACTATTGTTACTATAGCTACAGGTGTTCTCCTTACTGTAATGTTTCAACAGGATGGAGAGAAAAGGTAATGCTGTGACAAAGATGGGCACTTTGTGGCTCCCTGAGCAGCTTTTATTGATTTTCTAGCAGAGCAAAGCTAGTGCAAGTCATCCATGCTATGAATGTAGGAGGATCACTTAGCCCTTAATCTAACCACAGAGGAAGGGGGGAAAAGACAGATGGAGAGACAGACACCGACTTAACAAATACTGATTTTATTGAGCAAGGTTGTGTATATAAACTTACTTGAACACAAACAGAAACAAAAAGAAAAGAGTCTGAAAGTGTGGCAGCAGAGTACAAATCTGGCGTGTGAATGTAAGACTTACTTGTTAAAGAAACAAACATTATAAGTAATTAGAAAGGTCTGCTCCACGAATGTGTTGAGCAAACAGGATCAGTGATAGATAGTGGTCTTTGTTGACATTTCCGTCTAAGGCAGTGCTCACCCGCCAGCCTGGCTCCTTGTTGTCATCTTGCGGTGAGGTGAAAAGCCTGACTGGACAGATCTGGCCCCGGGGCCGGCCAAGTCCTGGACACGTGTCCCAGCTGTCAGACAGCTGCAGCACTGCAGATTCTGCTGCACATCAGCAGGATCTTCCCCCTGCTTAGAGGGGAAGGAAACAGTAAATGTCGCATGATGAATGAGTCAAGCTAGGATATGGGAGTATTCAGCAAGCAGTGTAAATAACATTCTTGGGTTTGAATATTGCACTCAGTATGTACAACATGTAGCTCTAGTGAAGAGGTGGGAGAAGCTGATAAATATGTATGAGATTTTAGCAGACACTGAGGAGGAATAGGTTGACTTTTAAAGCAAATTAAATTGGAAATGGAAGGGTGTTGATGAGTTAACTATGAACCTAACTGGTTTATGTAAAATGTTTAAGTAAAATGTTAACACTGGACCTCTCAAGATTCTATTGAGTGATGTGACAACACCTCTGACAGGTTGCCAGTTTGAACCTAATATCATGTGACAGTGTCATGGTCAGACACAGCAGTGCTTTGTGAGATGGGGTTTGCTTTTCTCAGAAACTGTTTTCCAGAGTGCAACAAACAAAGCAGCATAAAATCCCCAATATCTTTTGCTCCCTGAATATTGTTGTTTCCCCTTCTTTGTATCTCTATAAATGATTTGTCTTTCTACCTCTTCTCTCTCAGGTCCTATCTGCAGTGCCTGTGTGGACAACTTCGGGGCACGTCCCGTGACCATTTTCAGTGGCGTAATGGTGGCGGGCGGCCTGATGCTCAGTGCCTTTGCTCCAAATGTCCAATTCCTCATCTTTTCCTACGGGATTGTGGTTGGTAAGGAAACACTTGATAACCATGGGGGGCATCCTCCTGTGTGCTTTATACATACTCTACCAGAGAGGGGTCATCCCTATGTCTCCAGTGTCCTGTTTCCTCCAGAACACAATGTTCCCAACCCTAGGGTTAGGGGATTAGGGAATTTAGGACCCTGCGAACATATATACGCTCCCACCATAGACAAGCCAGCAAAGGTAATGCAGCACATAACCCTTAGATTTAATTCACCTGTCAAACAGACAGTTGTTTGATGTTGCCGCGGTCATTCGAGCTAACAAAGCTTCTTATCCAACTAACATAAGAAAATCTCGTAAGACATTATATAAGTCCAACTATTATGCAACAAGAGAAGCTATATCCTAAGTTAGTTACCAGTTAATGAATACCACCGCCACAGACAGCATGTAGAATTACACCAACACAAGATATGAGCATTGCATCATTTGTATGACATTGCTGTTTGTATTTTTTTAGGGGTGTTGACAGAAAAATAACATTATGTCATAGTCTGATCCTCATGTGACCCTTTTATTGCCCCAGCACCTTCACCACCGGCCTGTGTGGGCCCAACACCACCTGTTATCGCACACTAACTGACAGCTCAGCCGTGCTTAATCCTGGTAAACCCCTCGCAGTCAGCACTGCCTGGGCAAAAGACAGTGCTGACTGGTGAAGAGGGGAGGCCATGCATATTTGAAGACAGTCATTTATTTTTAGAGATGCCTTTGGATGATGGCTTTGCATGCACATGCATGTGCAGCTTGTTTACTGTACTCTTTTTTGTTTTGCTACTTGCACAAGAAACTTAAAGCACATTGCCCTCTGTGCCTAAAGATTTATGTAATTGTAAATTGTAAATACATCTTTATAATGAATTTTCGAATTCATCCACTGAAATGCAAAATAGTTTTAATATACATATTCTGATATGCTATTGCTGCTTTCACCTGAGTTTATCGAAATCCTTTCTGTGTTTTTTTTGTCCTCTTTCCTACTATAGGCTTGGGTTGCGGCCTGGTCTACGCAGCCACGTTGACAATCACCTGTCAATACTTTGACAAGAGACGCGGCCTTGCACTCGGCATTGTCACCACAGGTACTGCCGCCCACCCTCTGAGCTCACTGGGTGCTCACCAGTTCTCCATGCTCACTTCTTTCATGTATGAGCTGCGGGGAGCCTTGGGATGCTGAGGTAAACATCTGTAGAATAGCAAAGGCAGACTGGTCTCAGTAGGTAGGGACACGGATTGGTGACCAGTGACTAGATCTGGTCTGGCTGAGAATCAGAACTTCAATGGTAATGGTTTGGGAAGGTTGGCTGTATACTTTGTAGCAATGTTAGACAGAATTGGGAAGTAGAGATGAATGAGTTCACATAGATTGCACCAGCTTTTAAGATTGTCTCAGTTTTCTACACCTAAAAACTCAGAATAATTAGAAAGGTACTATACTCACATAAAATTCTAAACATAATGCCTTTAATTTGTATTGATTAGTCTGTCACTTTCTTACACAAACACTGAATTTCTGTCTTCTTCTGCTCACGCAGGCACAAGTGTTGGAGCGTTCATATATGCCACCGCTCAGAACGAGCTGATTGTGATGTACGGCCTGGATGGCTGCCTGCTTATCATCGGAGCTGTAGCACTGAACCTCATGGCCTGCGCCGGCTTCATGAGACCCCTTAACATGCCAGGGTACTACCTCAAACAGAAGGCAGCCCTGGAACGCAACACAGAGGAGCAGCTTTTCGAGAAGGCCCCGTTGGATGACCTGAAGATCACAGCAGGTTCCACCGCAACAACTCCAGAGAAAACTCTGATGGTGAAGGAGCTGCTCATCACAATTGATACCAAGGAGCTGGCCATTCAGACAGAGAAGAAGAAAGGCAGCTTTTTGTCTGGGCTGGGCATCATGAAAGTCATGAAGAAGAAGCAGCAGGCATACTTTAAGTACATGCACTCCATGTATGAGATCCTGCAGGACCAATCAATGGTGGCCTTCTGCATTGCTGTCTTCCTGTTCAGCCTTGGGGCGTTCCCTCCGGTGCTCTTCATAGAGGATGTGGCGCAGAGTCAAGGACTCGTTGAAGAAGTCAGTATCATTCCTCTGGTATCAATAGGAGCCATCGCCACTTGTGTGGGTAAACTAGTGCTGGGTATCCTGGTGGACTTTAAGTGGATCAACGGTATCTATCTGTATGCCTTCACCATGTTTGCAGAAGGTGTGTCGCTGCTCCTCATTCCTCTCACTAAGAATTATATGGGACTGCAGATCCTGTCTGTCGTCCTGGGTTTCTTCTCTGGAAACTGGTCTCTCACCTCTTACATTACCACTAAGATTGTTGGCTTGGACAGACTGACACAAGCCCACGGCATCCTCATGTTCTTTGGGGGATTTGGGATCATGCTTGGACCCCCTGTTGTAGGTAAGAGGGCTTGTCTTTATCTAGATTTGTAAGCGTTACTACACTGGCAGTTATTGGTTAGATAGAAGAGGTACAGATCATTTTATTTTGTGCAGAGATAAACCCTGTTGTAAGGTCATATTTATTTCAAAAATGTAAATATTGAATCAGGCAGGCAGGCAGGCAGGCAGGCAGAGCAAGGCGAGGGGCATGTCCACTTCAATAAGGAGACAGCTTGTCATTATTTAGCTGACTACTGTATCTACCAGGAATCCCTGCTGACTGTGCTCACAATGTCTGTTTTTCTCATCACTTTCCAGGGTGGTTCTTTGACTGGACGCAGTCATATGACTTGGCGTTTTACTTTAGTGGGAGCTGCGTGTTGCTGGGAGCAGTCATTCTCTCTGTGCTCACCCTTCCCTGCTGGAACAGGAAGCACTCTGCGAACGACAGACCAGACGTCCATTACACCAGCAACTGTGAAAAAGTTGCCTCTGTAGCCTGAACATGAGCACCGTTCGTAAGGACTCAAATCTCTCCCCAACAGCACAGCAAGTGTTCGCTGACAGACTATACCTGAACCACCTCTAAGAGGAGTTTTCTTTCTTTGACTATACAGGGGTTTCTCCCTTATTTCTCCTGCCAGGTTCTAATATACCAAAATATTTGCCAGAGGTTCTGAAATACAGGCCTTTCCTCTGTACTTTGCCTGCATTTCTCAGGTCCAAACCATATACTGCAGATGTTTTTTAAGGGTTTGACACTGATGCCTGTGTTGATTTTTTTATTATCGCCTCATTTTACGAGGTCAACTGAACAATACTGTTCAACTCCCCAATTCTGCATTTTGTTTATGTAAACACTGGTTTTCACTTTATTGTAGCTCTGAAAGAGACACGGTGCCGTTCATAGCACTGGGATGAAAAACATCTGTAAAATTGTTCAGTGTTAATTTAACACAATGACAACATTTGAAACCCCTCTACAAATGCACAAAAATCTCCCAGGAATCTTACTGGAACAGATATTACAGGGATGGGAATGAAGGAGGGAGCTGTTTTTTGATAATCATTTTTTTAGCAACACATCTTTATTTTGTATTTAGGTTTTAATATATATCTTAATTACACCACTATGTATCTTACCAAAGCATCAATGATAATCAATGCCTGTCAACACATAATGCCTGTTGGAACAATACAAAAGCCTTGCTTTATAGATCATTGACTGAATTTATACTTTTTTTTAATGATTTGAGTTCTGCATACCTCCTGTTTATGAATTACACAGAAACGTTTTGAATAAGTTATGCTGATTTAAAAACATGTAAAAACACAGAAGAGATCCTACTGTATTTCCAACCGTAACTGCATGTAGATTCTCTTTGTGGCATGATTATCATGACCTCTGCTGGCGTTCATTATGACCAGGCTGGTCCTTTTTCATCATGTTGTGTGTGTATATGTTTGTGTGTAGGCCTATGTTGTGTGGGTGTGTGTACATGTCTGCACACGCATGTTTGCATACGTGCACAGGTTTGTGTGTGTGCATTGTTTGATAAACTTTTGTATTAGCACTAGTTTGTAAAGTCCTATGTGCTAGTGACTTTTTATATGCACAAAAACGGCCATAGAGCTGTAAAAAAATGTTTCTGTTTAAGTTGTAAGTTGATTATTGTAATCATAATTGTAATGGATACATTGCAATAGGCTTTTAGAATCACTTGAATGTTGTTAAATATACCACTACAATTGTATTTTTTAAAGTTCCAGTTTCAGGCGTAAGGGTAAATCTGGGACATTAGTGTTTGCTTTTTTGTGTTTGTAGAGGGTATTTACAAGGTGCAGAAGAGGAACAATTAGTACAATTAGACTAAATTGTCACCTTTTAGCTCTTATTTTTTATGCCAGTATTATAATATTATATATTTCTGTTCTATTATTTTATTTAAAAAGTGCCAATAAAAGATATTTGGATTAATAATACTGAGTGTCATGGTTTGTAACGTTTTCATCATGAAGTTTGGAGTTAAATCCCAAGTCAACAATAAATAGAGCCTTGCGGCCATGTTTGTTAGCAGCGCCGCAGACTGCAGTCTCCAGCAATAACAGGGTACACTCGCATGAAAAACACCTCCACCTGACAATATTCTTTCCCACGTAAGCTCCTCTAAGAGGTAAACTATCAAACGGCTTCCTGGGGGAAGGACACGAACCGCTTCCATACTATAGACATACTACAAATAAAGTCAGTCGCCATACGCCTGAGCATCCAGACCCAGCCTGCTTCTCCTTCTCCTTCTCCTGGCAACCCGACCACGGATCACTATGGTTACCAGCGTGTCACGTGACTAGCAACATAAACAATTTTCCAGGCAGCTAACGTTAACGGTGGAAAAGTGAGCTAAAACCTGCTCCATTTTTAACAACAGTGTTTTTCTCTTCACGTTGAGATGTGAGGGCGACGGCGGTTGCTCCTTGTGCGTCGGACTTTCCGATAATTTCCGAGAGTGAAGCATCATGTCGAGGAGGGAACAATAATACGTCTACAGTTTAAAAATGGAGAGCTGTCCCGGTCCGCTGAGCTGAAAAATGGGAGCCAGCGCTTCAGTATCACTCTGTGTAAGTTGAGCTGCGGGCGGCATCAGCGGCTATCGTGTTATAACATTGTTCAGTGTTTTCGTGCCAATCGATAACACTTTGTAGGACAGCTTTATACCTGCTATATTAGGTATGAGGGGGCAGAGCACTTCCTTTCACAGTTTTATCCTCAAGTAACTTCACAGCAGACGCAGACACAACAGTTATCACATGAAAAACATGCTTTGTTTAGGGACTATTACGTTAGCCACATGTTTCCTTTACTAGTTAACTGTATATTAATTTCCTGGACGTCTTGTTTTATTGCGGAAATATGCCATTGAGTGTATAATCGTCAATAATCCTCAATTGTGGACACCTGTAGATACCTTATAAGTTCATAACACAAGGGTTGGGGATGATCACCGCTTTTCTAAAACTCCTCTGGTACCCAGGAATGTCACTATCATGAGTTACTGATGGCACAGTGTGATTTGTTTGTCATCTTTCCATGCAGAGCGATCCGACTTCAGTGAGAATCCTGAGACCCGGTGCTAAGGTCAGCCCAGAGCCCACTGCTCCCACCCTGGTCTCAGAGGCTGAACAGGGCAACAGGTGTGTGTTTGGTGTTGCCTTGGAAACACTGAGGGAGGACGGGCAGATGGTCTGTGGAGTACCCCTTGTGCTAAGAGACATGGTGGAGTTCCTGGATAAGAACGGTAATATAAACACTCCTCTGCTATTCTTTCCTTCATTTTTATCCCATGCGTCTCTCCTTCCTTCCCCCAACCGCCCTCTTTCTTTCTGTCGCTCTCTCAGCGCAAAACAATACTCAAACCTGTATGTGCACCGACTGAATCTACTGGTTTCTTTATCACAGGAATTCAGCACAGAGGTCTGTTCCGTCTGTGTGGCTCAGTGGTGCGAACCAGGCAGCTGAGGCAGCGGTGGGACTGTGGAGAGAGGGTGGACCTTGCTCAGTGGGGTGAGCAAGACGTCCCCACTGTGGCCTCGCTCCTCAAGCTCTTCCTTCGGGAGCTTCCCACCCCTATAGTTCCCGAACCCCAGCGTAGACAGCTGGTTCTGAGCCTCACAGGTACTAGGAAATCACATTGGACTGACAGTGATGGGAACAAATTTCATTCACTTTTTTACAGTATAATTGTAAAAGTAAATGAGTGATGTTATTGTTCTTTAGATTTGAGCAAGGCACTGCTGAGCTTAATCAATATGTCACTGTACCTCTGGACTTTATTTGAGTTACAGTACAGACATTAAACTGCTGAGACAGGGGAGTGACAGAGTGGGGAAACTAATCAGTTTTAAGTGGACTAGGTGCCTGGTGGACTGAAATTTCCCTTAGCAAGAGGTTTTATATATATATATATAATATATATATATATATATATATATTCATTGGTAATACAAGTGGATTTTTGTATTTCAGCAAAAAAAATCTAATAAGCTGTCCAGCAAAAGAAAATCTGAATAACTGCAGTAAATTAAATAAATCAATAATAATGTAGGTGTAGACACAAAAGGTGAACACTCTGGAGATAGATGTGTTATATTGTTGTATAACATTGTTGACCTACCTAGATTAAGTATTACTTAATCTAATGATTGTGCTTTATGTAACTAATAAATTATTTACTCAATATAATGCAGCAACTGCATACAAAAGTCCATCTTAAAGGGTCTTAAAATTAATTATTTGTTGATACTTTGTTGTTTTATATATGTATGATAATTGTTTATGATGGGGTTTGGCACTCTTGTATTACTCTTGTAGGGTTCTCAAATGCAATGCTATGTTTAAGTGCAAGTGTTGTGTCCAGTAGGTTAACACAGCCAGCTAATACAAATCTGAGGCCAGTTGTATACTGTATAAATACCAAAGACTAGTGGTTGAAGTGCAATGTAAATAAATACTGTTTGGATGTTTTTGCTTTTATTTAGGATATGCAGATGAGGCAGAGATGAACCAGTCTCTGAGAGAAAACCTTTGCCACCTCCCTGATGACAACCTCATTATTTTCTCTTACCTCATCCACTTCCTGTCTAGAGTGGCTGCTCACAGCCAATCAAATCACATGCCTGTGGAAAATCTGGCAACCATCTTTGGGCCTTGTATATTCCAGTAAGTTGCTGTTGTTAATGCCACATTCAAATCCTCTCCAGACCTGTACTGGAACACAAAGTGCCTCCAGCAGATAGTTCAGCGACTGTTCTCCTGTATACATTATAAAATGTTGTTTTTCACACTGTAGTTTTAAGGAGGGATATTCCTTGGGATTTCTAGTATAGTATAATCAAAAAACAATCTAGTTCAACAAATGTTCCCTTTATAATTACTGCAAGTGAAGGGTTATGGTCTCTTAAGCATGTCAGGTCCAGATGTGGAACACCACCCCACTTCTGTCTGTTAGTCATGAAAGCAACCTACTACTTGCCTGCCCCAATTCATCAACAGTGGTTGTGCGTCTGCTCTTTTTCCACAGCTCCACCACTGATTTAGGGTGGAGTCGGGTTTTTCACCAAGGAAATGGGTGTGGGTTGTGGTTGATAATGCAAAGCATGGTATACAAAAAGACAGCAGATATAACAGGTCAGCAGGATTTTGTCAGTTGCTTCTCTGCGTCCTGTTTACAGAACTCAACCATTACTGTAAACAAACACAATCTCTGGGGGGGGCACACATACAATTAGACTTGTGTTCAGCGTGGAAAAGACTTATTATATTCAGTCAACACCCTTTCAACTGTTCCCCCATCCCTTCATCTCCCAGTCTCAACTATGTCACCCCTGTTTTCTCTCCGAAAGTTAACGGCATGTCAGTGGAATGTGCAGTTGGTCACGCCATAAAGTTCAGCATATGAGGGGAAAATGTCAGATGATTATAGCCGAGGGAAGAAGAGTTGGGTAGGGGGGGTGTGGAGTTGGCAGCAGAGTCTTGGAAAAAGTTGGGGGTGGGTTTGGATGGCGGTAGCTACAGAGAGTTGGGGAATGTCCTGTGCAGCAACAGAGGAAGAAAGGAATGGTATAATGGTTTAAATGAATGAGAGATACATGCTGCAAAAAATGTCCAGCTGAACAAAGCTACTATTTATCCCAAAATGCTAACTTTTAACTACATAGATGTTGTTTTTTTACTTGTTCCAAGATTTTAAAGATTCCCTACAGAGTTGTATTAAGACATATATACAAACTGTGAACGTCCTGGGACAATAACTTGTGCCTGATATGTTTTTCCGTAAAAAGCTCAAACATGCCTCTGTAGGAACAAGAAGAAAAGCCTAGTTTTGCGTGTAAGGGGACTTGAATAATATTGCTATTGCTTTAATATCAATTTAAGATTAAATGACTTGGTATGGCAGACAGTGTAACACATGTTCTTGCCATGCAGCATGTGTGACAGTTTCTTTGGCACCCCCATGCATATTTGTCACCCAAGCCTCATGCTAAACAGCTTGTTGCTCTCATATGTGTCTGTTATGGACTCCATGTGGCTGCTCCTGTCTTGTCACTTCGATTGACCTGCCTGCCATGTAAACACACATCTATTAATACACAAATATTTCGCATTCTCTTCCCCGCGTGTATGCTATGTTAACCTTAACCTACCTTCTATACATCGGATAACACCTAAAAAAAAACCCAGAACGGATGAGGTCAACAACAGCATGGCGTATTGAGAACTAATAGCTGCTTCTAGGGAAACATGTGAAGACTATTTTGGTTGGGGGTGACCCATACCTCTGTATTGTGAATGTTAGGACCAGAAGTTACACATAATTTAAAAGCTGTCAGTGTCAACATGGAGCTTTACAAGATGTTTACTGCCTGGCTGTTTATTTTTGTCAGTGAGAAATGTAATAGTTAGGTTTTTATTCATCTTATGCAGTCTGACCGGTTCATCTCAGTTCACTGCTCTCATGTGCCCTTCCACTAGATGGATCCCTTTTAGTTTTTGTTTGTTACAACACTTAACACAGTACATAATAAATGTGACATTGTGTTGTTGTTTCCTATCTCTTCTTTATGCAGTGTTCCAGCAGGACCCCGGATGCTGGAGGAGCAGAGTGTGTGTAATGGCCTGTTGCTCCATCTTCTCAGGCATCAGAAGGTTCTCCTTCCAATCCCCGCCCGGGAAGCAGAGAATTCCTCGATCGCCTCCTCCTCACCTCCTCCTCCTACCCTCTCTGCTCTTTCACACTTTGAGGTGAACCATGGTTTTTTTGCCTCTCTTTCACAGGAATTGTTACATAATTGAATTTTTAAATCTATGGCTTTTACTTGTAACAGAGGTTTTTTTTGGTTCTATTGGCACTTTTACATAGATAAAGGATCTGAATAATACCTCCATCACTGGTCTTTTCACACTTTTTGATCACATTAATATCGCAGCAATTTACAAAGGTCTTGAATATTTTATTTTTTAATTTTTTTTAACCTTTAAACTAAAAGTGGGATTATTGCAACAGTGGATTGTGCATGCAGGAGGCATTAGAGTTTCAGTCAGTGCCATCAAACCTTTAGCAAACACTGTTGCTACGGCTAACAGTGTTAAATTTGATTAAATGTGGTATTAAAAAAGGAACTTAAAAACCCTGTTGTAATGTTATGTAAAAAAAATGCTTTGAGGTTTTGTTATTTCTGTAGAGTGGTGTGTGTGTGTGTTCAGTCTTGTTTTCATTGGTAGGTCCGGCCCAGCAGCCGTCACTCGGAGCAGAGTAGAGTGGAGAGGTTGGAGGGAGAGACCACCTCAGTCTCATCGACCAGTCCTTTTAACCAAACAATACGGATGCAATCTCAACTCAACAGGTACTGTCAACAACCCTAGTATCAGTATCTTTGGAACTGCACAAGATAGATAGATAGATAGA